AGAATCCTGCCACACAAGCCCAAAGAAGAGTAGCAGTTTGAAGCTGTCATTTCCAAATCTATACACCTCTTGGGAAGAGTTTCTAAGATGACAACAGACCCAATTGGAAAGCAGATGCCACTGAGTATGGAGACTTACCTACCTACTCCACCCTTCAGAAAGGCAATGAAATAAATATTACAAACAGTATTTAAGAAAACCCAGAAATGTTTCTAAAAAAGTTTATAGGATATTTCCTACCAACAAGTGTCATGGGAATATCCAAGTTCATTTAATTAATAAAAAAAATACAGGTGTGTTTGGTGGGCTATAATTATAACACTTGGGAGGCTGAGGCAGAAGGATCTCAGTTTCTATGCATTCTGAGCTAATTAGTAAATCCTTATCTCAAAAGGAAAGAAAGGAGGAAGGGATGGAGGAAGGAAGGAGGTAGGTTGGTGGGTTGCTGCAGTAGGTGATTTTACCTGAGTTTGACCTGTCATGTGTTAGCCCTTTATGCTGTATGGTACACATAACTATTTGCACCTACAAAGTAACATTATTATTAGTGATGAAAAGACTTCATAGAGCTGGTATATGGGTACATGGACTACATATAAATATATATGAACTACAAATAAACACAGAACAGTTGAAGAGTGAATCCTGGTACAGGTGTCTACCTTGCAATCAACTATGCTTGATTCAGTCTTGACACATGGGGTCTCCATGAGTTGGTGTAAAGAAGATGATCGCGAGTGCCAGCCCTGTAGAAGATAAGGCTGAACATGTCTCCAGGAAGCACATACATGATGTCACTAACTTGGGTTATTTCCTACTATTTTAAGAAAGGTGAAAACATGTACCACCCAAGTCTCCCATTCTGAGAAAGTCAGGATGGTAGAAAGATGAAGTTTCACTACCAGTTGGTATTGTTATAGAATAATGTATCAGACCATAGAATGGACTTAGTCTTAAGAGCTGGAAAATGGGGTGGCAGAGTCTTGGCTCCCTCACTCTTGTTAGATTCCGCTGACATAGTCTGAGAATTTCATGCACATACCAGTATGCTTGGCAGCATCCTGTGGACACACAGGCCTCTCCCTCTCAGATTGCTTTCCTAATATGAAGCTCTTACCAGCCCCGCCCCCCACCCCACTATAGCCTCTTCACATTTTCTGAGCAAATGGATATTTATTTCTTTACTTGGTTATGAAATTTTGAAATATTTCCAGAATATTCTTTCCCTCTGCTTCCTGCCTGTCCCTCCCTCTTTTCCTGGCCTTCACCCATACTTGAGGCAGAAAAGGCATCTAACACTCATTTAAAACCAACAGTGAATCAGAGGGGAGCCCCTTCAGCTCCAAGACCAATAGCTTGTCCTTCCTAATCACGGAATCTGTAGAATTGGGAGCTTCGCGTGGGGGTTAGGGAGGGACAAAGGCAGCTGGAGGCTGGAGGGACAGGGTCTGCCACAAAACTCTTGAGGAAATGGGAGCTGCCCAGCGACTGAGACAGCAAACCCAGTGTCACAGGCCTTTGTAAGAAGCCTGGCTCCTTTTTATCCCTTCCTACTGCCTCTAACCCCAAAGGGACTCTGGCTCCAGAAAAATCAGCTGCCAGTCACCTCTGTGTGTGAAAGGAAAGAACTCTGGAGAAGGCATTGAAACAAACCAAAAAGTATGGATTCCTGCCCTTGACCTTGATTCTGGGTCACTTCTAAAATGCCACCTTGAGTCTCCAGCCATACCACTTCGACTGTGCCCAATGTCATCTTAGATGCCTCCTTAAGAAGACAGCCACATCCATTTGCACATTGTGGTTTTGAGAGACTTTCAAGCTTCAGAAATCTCTGAGTGTGATATTTGAGGAACATGGCAGTTGGCTCAGTGAATCCCAGACACTGTTTACCTTCTTAACCTTTTCGTGTCTACACCGCAATGCCCAGCTTGGGCTGGATAGCTTGTAGATGGCAGAGAGAACTGGCCTTTACACCACAGGCCAAGAACAGTGTGGACACTGGAGAAGGAACCAGCTGATCCCCTCTTGAGAGGTTGATCTCCCCTGGGATACAAAATGTGGTATGGTCAGCACTCGGGTTTGATGTTTTATGAGCATGTTTAAACAGTAGGGAAAGCCCACCCAGTGGAAATGACTGGGATTTTAGAGCTCTAGGTATCCCTTTGGCCCACTCAGAGTTATGGCCAGAACTGACATTTCACAATGGGGAAACCATCCTGGTGCCATTATTCCAGGCTGCAGGCAGGAAACCTGGGGCCAGCAGCGCCTCTTCCTTGCAAGATTTGTGCAAGGGCTGTGCTGGGTTTTCCTAGGCCACAAGGAAGGAAGATGAGAGCCGATGAAGGACAGCTCCTCCCATTTTTCATAACCAGAAATCGGGTTTTCCGGGTTTGCACAATCACTCCGAGCAAGTGAGACATGGGCCCCGCTTGCATGTCCTACAGAACCAGTGCTAGGTCCCCATCCCTTCTCCTCACATTCCAACAATTGCCTTTCCCTTGAATACATTCCAGACCAAACACTGTTCAGTTTGTTTCCAAAATTAAAAACCAATGTATATATCTGTATGTACTCCACCTCTCTTTAAGGGGTTACCTGGTCCTAGGTTGGAGCTGCAAGCAGAAAAGGTATTCTGATCCTTCAGTTTTCAGAATTGAAAGTTTTGAGGTGGTTTTTTGTTTGTTTGTTTGTTTGTTTGTTTGCTTATTTGTTTTTTAAGCCAAGCTGGGGAAGCAGATTTTTGAAAGGCAAACTTACTTCCTGCTACCTCTACAAAGATTTGTGTGCAGGTGAGTTAGCTTGAAAACTTCAACCCTGGGTAGCAGGCAGGTCTAAGGAAGAGAGGAGGAGGAAAGGCCATACCCCATCCACCAGGGCCCTTCTTGGTGGTCTCAGTGCATCACGGTCTGCCTGCTGCTCTGGTGTGTGCACTGGAGCCCAGCTGTGAAGTCGGCCCTGCATGCTGGCTACAGCCTGGCCTGCCTTCTGCCAGCAGCCGAAGTCTTCACAATCAGCAGGGAAGACTGTGCCCTGTGTCGCCTCCCTGTGACCTCCAGTGGGAGCAGCTCAGCTTGTGGCTTTACGGGTTCCACTCTTGCAAACCCAAAGGCTGCGCATTTGGAAGCCAAACATTTAGTTCAGCATGTGGCTGCCGTGGCTAGTTTTCGTGGACAAAGCAAGCTGTGGAATGGCTTCTCTGTGTCTGTGTTTTTCTAAGCCAAAGGGACAAACAGTTGCATCGACCCCTTGTATTAAAGCCGCTTCTGCATCCTCCATACCTGCTTTTAACCTTCTTTGTCTCTGGGGAGTTTGTTACATAATTACCGTGTCCTCTGATGATTTTCCAAACTATGTTACTTATAGGTGATTTTATTTTCCTTATGGATGGGAAAAATGGAAAAGCTGAGACATGTTTGAGGCTTTAGTCAAAGACATCACTCAAAAGTCCCAAACACTAGTTAACTTGCTTCTCAATGGGAAAAAAAAAAATCTTAGTTTGAACAG